ATCAAAAAACTTTCTTCTTCACCAATTTGCCCCATTTTTCGGAGTAAAAGGCGCATATTTGTGCACCGCACGCTGGCAGATTCGTGATGCCGCATGCGATATGCGACGCCGCAAGGACAGAGGTCTAACTTCTCTTAACAGTTTTCCGCATTCGTCCTCTGTTTCAATCGCTCGTGATCATGATTTGGTGGAAAAATCAGTTTGCTCTGTTTTTAATTTATCGTATTCTGCAAAACAGAAACACACTCAGACGCCTGTACTGTCATCACCTTTGAAACTCATACAATAGCTGTTACTAAGTTCGTTTATGTCTACGTTTAGTCAAATCGTTAAAATGCATTTATCGTTTGATTGCCGAGACATCGGCGGGTTTCCTTTGGGCACTTATCGGCGCATCCGCGGTTCGGGAGCTTGGCGTGCGTTTATTCTACCACTCGCGGCATGGATGAAACGTCGGCCGGAGCCTTTCGGGTGGTCGCAATAATTGTCTGAGCAGGGGGAGTCGTATCCGGTGGTCGTGTCACACCTCTTGCTTGACCCTGGCTATCAGTTACTGCCGAGACGAGGGCATATGTCAGAAGATCATTTGCAGATGCGCACTTTTTTACCCCATTTTCTGAAGTGTAAGGCTCACCTGTGTATAAGGCGCACCTGCCGGGCGAATATTAGTGCGAAAGGTGCGCCATAGGTTTTGTTGAGCTGTACTTTGGCAGTCTACTTGTTTGTACTTTACCTGGAATTGGTTGCCAAATGAGCAATTCAGAGTTATGATTCACTGCTAACTCAATTTTTGAATAGCTTTGACGATTTGACTAAATGTAGACATAAACGAACTCAGTAACAGCTATTGTATGAGTTTTAAAGGTGATGACAGGACAGGCGTCTGAGTGTGTTTCTGTTTTGCAGAATATGATGAATTAAAAACAGAGCAAACTGATTTTTTCACCAAATCATGATCACGAGCGATTGAAACAGAGGACGAATGCGGAAAACTGTTAAGAGAAGTTAGACCTCTGCCCTTGCGGCGTCGCATATCGCATGCGTCGTCACGAATCTGCCAACGTGCGGTGCACAAAAATGCGCCTTTTACTCCGAAAAATGGGGCAAATTGGTGAAGAAGAAAGTTTTTTGATATTCTACACTAGCACTTTTGTGAACTGTACGTGCACAGTAAGCAATTCTTTTGGAAGCTTCACTACATACAAAAATTTATAGATTAAGATGCAACCAAACGTCAGTAATAGGCAACTGTTCGCGAGATCCAGGATTGCCATAATCATCATTTTACGCAAAACATTGCTCTGATATTTCAGCAGCAGTGGCAGGCCTAAGGGAGGGGGGACGCGCCGCTCCTCTCTCAAGAATGGTGGTGAATGTGCAAGTATTTGTTTATACTCGTGAACAGTTTTCCATTTCAAAAGTTTAAATTAGCCGCTACTTTTCCGTTATCCGGACCCATTTTTTTTTCAAAGGCTCTCATAAAATATGCTCTTCAGTTTAAAAACGTTTTCACGATTTTTCTTCTTCTTCTTTTCTTGTTAGATCTACGAAGACTGCCTCCCCGCCACGTGATAAGAAAAAATTGACTTGTTTTTACAAAACCATTTCTGGTGAGGTAGAAGAGAATTTGTGATCACCTAAAAGCCTTTCAACTGGTTTCTACGAGAGCAAAACCGTCTAGAACTCATTGCAGAAAATCTTGATTGCTTTCAGCAATAGCAAAATTGTCTTCCTCTAAACTTTCCGTCATGCGAACTTATCCAAAGAGACTATAAATGATGGCTTGCGGTATCTTTCTGCTCTTGTTTCGCCGCTTGAATAAAGGAGCCTTAGCGCACTTCTCCATTCTGGGCAGGTCTAATCTGTGCAAAGATAACAGGATGACGTTATTCTTATAACAATGTACATTTCTGGAGCTGTTTATTTGAAAACGGGATCATTATTGACTATAATAACAGATTGAACTTAAGTCGCTAGTAATGCAACACAAACCCTTGGTAAAACATATTAAACATGTAGATGGCATATCAAATGTTTTTGACATGTAGCAGAAAGTTGACACTGGCCCGTAGTAAACCCCCTTTCAGCCCAACTCGGCTGGAGGCGGGCCTACGTTGAACGTAGAGCGCTCAGTCCGCATCCGGTGAGCCATCGATCTGGTTTCGGATCGCTTTTCAGACCCAAAGATTTGTGCGTTCTCAAAAAAATGAACTCCTTGGGTTGCCTGGTCAAAAGGCTAAGTGCATGGGTTTCAATGAGAAAGTCCATGGTTCAAAGCCTGCTAGCGGCACAATTTTGCGCCACCGCAGGACAGTCTTTGATAGCGGCCGCTATCGAGAAAAATCGATGGCGACCGCTGTCAAAGATATCGCCAACCAAACGATGGATAAAACAAAACTACCACATTTTGGCAAGGAATTCATGGAAACGAAAATTTTTGAACATAGAGCAAATAAAAAAATCAAAAAATCCTTGTTTAAAGCAGTTTTTGAAGAAAAAACGTAGTCAAGCTCTGAAAAAAAAGAAGAAATCCAAGAAATCCTGTTTTCTCGTTTTTTCGCTGCAATCAGCTGTTCATCGATCCTCTCCCATTTAGGCCGCCGAAAACGTGCAACTTTGGAAGTTTTGCACCGCAAGAATACGTGGGCTAGATTGTCCCGTAAGTTACTCACAGCAACTTACGGGAAATTTGTCTGATCCTCCTCTTAAGCACACTATTTCTCTCAGGTCACCCCAAAATTCAACCTCGGATAAGTGGCATTCTGGTGAACTGACTGTGACACTTGACCAGACATTCTTCTGACTGTTGAACTGACTATCCTAAAGCACGGGAATGTGGGCGGGATTAGGGTCACCCGAGGAAGTTCTTCTGAATGATTCATCTCAAGTCACCTGAGATGAATGGGGGTTTACTACGGGCCACTTTTTCCTGCGAATTTAGGATCAATTATCGTGCAAGGTCGGAAGAAATATCCTTCTTTGAAAAAATGAGTCCGGATAACGAAAAAGTACCAATTAGCCTCATAAAAGTTTTCTTCGGTTGCGTGGGCTTGGGGTTATAGGGTCTCCGAGATTTTGAGGAGCGTCCAAAGAATTTGGATTGCGTGACAAAGACCACGCATCATCGTTCAAAAAATTTTCTGTCCCCTTGACCAATCGCAGAACGGAAATCTTGCAGCCGCCAATGTTGAGCAGTAATAAGCAGGATCTGTGACTTTGCGTAAACTTGTTATAGACAATAAATAAAGCTTTGACATGCGTTTGCGAAGGTCCACAGTCAATTTCACCGAGTATTGCACAAGAGACATGATAAAATAAACATAACAAGACACAAGCTTTGCAATTGAAGCAAAAGCGTATAGCGCGTGAGCATCTGGCGTTTTAGATCATTGTTTTTATTGCCATTTTTTTCATCTAGCGTGTTTGTAAACTTACTTGCCAACTGGCAAGTGGTTAACTGTATATCGGTTTGACTTCAGCTTTTCATAACAAAATGTGTATTCAGACAAACAAATCACCAGTTAGTTGCGCATATAATGTGTTTTCTAAATAGGTTGGCACATAACCTTTGATTCAACTGGCTAGGCATCATCAGAGCGGGCCTTGGGCTTAATTGTGGCCGGTCGCGCCCGCGACGCACCTGCATCTCTCGCGCAAGTGCTGTCTGATCATTACCTAGCCTTAATTAGGTCACGAATCCCCGCCTTTCCCAATGCCAAGCCAGTTGAATCAAATGTTAAGTTCTGCAACTTGTTTCGTAACTTTTCTCTTTTTGACTGTGACGCATTCATTTTTAGGCATAATGTGACCTAGATAATAGGCTACAAATCTTAGCAAACAGTTTAATTTTTGATAGCAAATTGGAGAAAATTCGCTCGTTTTTTAAGAGCTGGTCGAACCCGACATTTCAAGGGTCGGAAAACCAAAAATAAGGCCGTTTTCAGTATGAATAGAACAAATCAAGCCGAAACACTGTAGACGATTAGAGTTTTCTCTATCAACAATCTGGGTACAGTTTCGGCTTGATCTGTTTGATTCAGACTGGGAACGGCTTTACTTTGATTTTCCGATGCTTTTCAGGTTTGTAGCCTACTATCTAATCTACATTACGCCCTATAATGAATGTGTCACAGTCAAAAAGAGAAAAGTTACAGAATAAGTTGCAAAACTTATGTGCCAATAATAATAGTGATATATAGTCAAGCCCTTCTCGAAAGCGTCCTCACTCTGGTAAACTTGAGGAGGCATACTTGAGTGATCGTGTCCGGTAGTAAATGACAGTATGTTACAATGCTTGTCGTGTACCCATCTATGTCTCAGAATTGAACTATTCTTTATTGTTTATATGACCAAGTAACAGAGCAACCGTGTACTACACTGTTCAAAAAAATGATTGGTTCCGAAGCATCATACAACAGAATGGTCAAGTTATTCTCATTTAGTAATTAATTTTCTCACAAGTGACTTCAAGATGGAAGAAATTACTTTTTATCGAGGGCCTTACCAGAAAGAGTTGCGTTGTCGAACAGATTCCATACACACCGTCAGAAGCCACACTCAAAGTGGACAGAGCAATTGTGTCCAGACGTTATGAAGAAGTATGACGTTGTCAACCATACTCGCCAATGCTAAGCTTAGTGTAGGAGAACTGACTTCGCATTTTTGGGCAGCCTTCGCAGAAAAATGTTCTTTGAATGACATCTAAAAATACTAAAACGACCAGCTGTCCGCGAAAGAGGTTTGTAATTGAAGAGCTTGTCTTTGTACCTCTACGGGTAGCTTGCAGGCCAACATAAGGTGCGCCAGGGTACGCTCTCTATTTTCCAACTTCTAGCAGTACGGTTAAAACGACCCTCAATTTTTGAGGGCTGAATCTACGATCTTTTTTGAACGTCAATCGGTTCTATCTTATAAATACGAAGTTCAAGCGGCACGTAAGGCATGTCCTCATCGCCAGCATTTTGCCATCTGTCAGCATTTGCTTGCAACTACTACCTTCTAAAAGTCTGCATTTCTCGCTTTCTCTTCAAAAACTCTTGATAAATTGAGCTACAGATGTAAGTTGCATACGGAAAGACTTTTGCGAAAACTGTCGCTATACAGATAATCTTACCATAAACATAATAGATCAAAGCTAGAGTCACTTTACTTATAAGCAATAGAAATATGTGATTATTACACTTCTGATCGATTACTTTGTCGTGCCTTGCTCAACCACAGAGTCCACCAGAACCGCATGATCCAGCTCCAAAAATGTAACACTCGGAGCACACGAGGCCGACATTGTACATCGGATTGTTGACAATGTTCCCACTAAAATGAAGCAATCATGTGCTTCTAAAAAAGAACTTTGTAGGTGCTTACTTTGGCCGGTAACGGCATGATAGTACGTATTCATCACCACACTTAGCAATGGAGCAACCAATCTCTCGAGTTTGAGCCCAACCCATCTGAACATTTGGCATTCATCAAAGCTTCCTGGATTTCAATGCTGAAACGATTTTGACGAATTTAGAGCTTACTCGAGTGTATGATTCTATGGGAGTGCCAACGAGTGATTCGGTAAAAACTGCACTTGAACCAGGGTTAGGATAGTTTTGGTATACATCCCACCACACCCTGATTGTCTGAAAGCATGAACAATATTTACGATAAGTCAGCATAAACTTACTTTTATGGTCATTTCTTTGAAAGTTGATATGTCGCTGGTTATGGCGGCGCGATAAAAGTTATCGACTGGACTTAAACAACTTGGTTCTATATATCCTTCTGTAGGACATTTGGCTAGATGATCGTGAGCCTCCTTTTCCAAAGTACAAGACCACACCTGCAAATTATAGCTTGCAGCCACTCAATCGTCATACTTGCTTGAGAATATAAATGAACGCGATAGAAGCTTTAAAAACTAACTAGACGATTCATGTTAGTAGCAGATGGCAACATATTTCCACTATATTTCAGCTGCCCTCTCGCAAGTTGAGCTCTAAACATGATTGAGTTATTTATAAGCTAAGAGATCAACAACACTTAACGATAAACGTTAGGTCGGCCAAAAAATGCCTGGAGAGAACTAGAAAGTTCATCGTCATTATTTCATAATTTTAGGATGCTGCCTGACAGTCTCTCCTTTCTCTTTCCGTACAATAGATTTTTATAATCGAATATGTCATAAGTTTCTACGGTGAATGCCAAAATCAATTCAAGTGTGTCTAATAATGAAAAGTCACAAGTTGCAGGGGCATTGCAAAGAAACGTACATCCCCTTAGAATAACACACAATCTTCCCATAAACAGTTGAAACTTTGGCTTAATATCGAGCTAGAAGAGAATGGAAAGCCTCAGAGGGACGGACAAGCCCAACTACGACTTTACATAGCAATACGTAGACGTGAGTTCCTGGAGGTCCAAAGCCAGTTAGGTCTCATAAAACGGATTTTGTCTGCTGAGACGAAGTTAGCTTCAAATTCGACGATGTCTGCTCTGCTTCAGATTTCAGCATGATAGTAACCATCATGGAGCTGAATGTGCCAATTATAAAAAAAACGCATCAAAGCTAGATAAGTGGCTTTAAATCGCTTTTCCAACGTATACCATTAAATACTCGTCAGATTTTGTCCAAACCACATAGCTTTTTTGGTAAAATTGAGCAGAAGAAACTAATTTTGAACTCATAAATTAAGTAACGTGACGGAAGACTCGCGCAGTACGCAACGAAATTGTGTTTTTTTGCGGTTAAGTAGAAGTCTGGTGGAAATTCAGGCGTTTTTCTACGACTCCTCGGCATAATTCTCAAAAACTGCTGCATTTGAAGAAAAGCTTTATCAAAGTGCTTTTCATACTCGTCCTTGCTTGTAGTTATTTTTGAAATTAAATTTTCTCGGACTTATTGCGGCCACTGACACTGCACTTTGGCAGCGGACCTAAACGCTTTGGTTGACCATCAGCAATCTTAGATTTATTTGTTTCCTGATCCGCGACTCAGCGTTACTGCGAGGGAAAGGTAGCGAACTCCAAGCTGTTTATCGGAGCTCCTGCGCCCAATGATACTCCAGCGAGCTCCGGGCTTTAAAGGACGCCTTGCATTAGGTTGCGAACAAGCTCCGGCCTTTTAAGCCACGGCCTGACAGACTCACTTTGGCACCCCGGCCTTGCTGGACGCCGCAATTCTTACACGTTTTGAAAGGAAAACGCTAATTGCGTGATATACGCCGCGGTGATACGCTACCCTCAGCGTTCGCCACTTTAGCTAGAAGTCGAGTAAAGTCCTGGTCATCGACAGTGTATCCGATGACCACCCGCTAAAATCCATAACTCTGGAACCAGGGGCGAAGGAAAGACCGAAAGTAGTCCAGACGTCGTCCCGTATTTTTGTATAGACTGCGGCCTTTATGCCAGGTTGGAGTCAAAAGCTGGTGTATAAAATCGTTCATACGACAGATGCGTATCGACTCCCAATTTCGTACAGAGGCGAGTTGAGGATTCTCCGATTACAACGATAAACTTGTTGAGCCTCCGTTGAACTTGCTGAATGTTACAGAATTGTTTTTCATACTTTCTCACTATCGAAAACAGCAAATTTGGAAGTTCAAGTTGAAAAGTCTTTACCTTCATGCAAATCTGTTAGTTGCTGACATTTCTCCACAATTTTCAAAAAAAGCGGAGCTTACGTGAATTCTACAAATGGATGTACTCCTACACTAAACAGGATTAGCGGTTGGAAGGTAATGCTTCGAGAAATAATCAAGGTTAGGGATGATCAGAGAGCAAGCTCATGAAAAACGCGGACTGCGTAGTGGGTGCCAGCGGTCGTCTTCTAATCACCAATCTCGTTAAATCAAAGGGTATATGGTAAGGCAACGGGTAGAGGAGATAGTCAGGTGCAGATGTGCCCAAGTCTTTACGTAGAGAACTCCACATAAGCTCGAATGCTTTCTAAAGTTAGAGACTAATCTAATTAAATGCTAACGGCAGTTTTATATGTCTGACTGTCCTCAGGGCCAGACGCATGTAGTTTTCGAGCATTTCTGAAAACGAAGACCTTTAGCACTTTGCACGGTCAATTCGAGGTCCCCTTTGAAGTATTATGAGAAGCCACAGAAATCTATACAACGAGATGAACATTCGTTTTAAAAGCGCGTTTAGACAAGAAAAGCATTAACCTGCATAAAATTTTAGCAAGACAAAAGCAGTATTGGTGAGAAAGCAGAAGCTTTAGGCAAATAATTTGCAAGCGTTCTCTCTGTATATTCGTTCTCTTTCATCAAACTTGTAACACGATACATTCTCGGCCAGCTAATGTTCGTCATTCAGAGTCATTTTGCGTCACTCAGACTCAGCTCATCCTGCGCTAAGCCTTACGATGGTATTCCCCCTATTGTCTACAGGAAGTGCGCTGACTTACCTTCGGAACCTCCCTCTAAGCTATTCAGTCGCTCCATTGATTTATATGAGATACCTAGCTTGTGGGAGGAAGCTATTGTTACTGCATTCTCAAAAACTGCAGCCTCTACAGTATCTGATTTTCGTCCCATAAATCTTAAGCCCACTTTAATCAAAGTTATGGAAAGAATTATAAGGAGAAAATTGTTTCGCTGGTTAAGTAATTTTCACCCAGTTCATCCTGAGCTTCGTGGTTTTTTACCTGGAAGGTCGACTACAACTAATCTTATTGCAAGTTTTTGATTGGAGAAAAGCCCTCAATGATGGGCTATCTGCCGATGTTGTTTATGTGGATCTATCAAAAGCATTTGATAAGATCCCCCATCATGTACTATTATCCAAACTACAAGGCTATGAAACTGATGAAATTTTACTGCAGTAATTCCGATCCTATTTTTGAAACAGATTTATCACAGTCAAGGTTGGACAGTCTTTTTTCAAGAAATATCAAGGTACTAGTGGTGCATTCCAGGGTTGGGTACTTTTACCTCTTCTTTTTCTGATCTTTATTATTAAGCTACCTACTGTTTGTACTTTGGGCGGAGTGAGCGAGCTGACTTACGCGGATGACATCAAGCTGTATGTATGTTATAATGAAGAGGTATTACGCTGTGCGTTTTGCATTACAATCATCCATTGAAAGATTGGGATGGTGGCAGCACGTAATGGTCTTTCTCTGAATCCTAGCAAGTGCTCCTTTCCGCATTTTGGGAGAATAAGAGCTTTCGATTATGAAGTGAATGGTTTTGTCTTAACAGTGTGTTTATTGATTAGGGATCTAGGCGTTTTGATTGATTCTCAACTAAAATGAACACATTGATCATACCGTGCAAAAAGCGTACTCATCGCTGTTTGCTATCTTTTGAAACATTCATTCATATGACGAAAAAACCCTCATCAGACGTATAAAGCGTGTGTGCTCCCTCACTTAGAGAATTGCTCTCATATGAAGCCCCTCATGTAGAAAGGAGACTGAAAGTTGAAAAAGTTCAACGAGTATTTACAAAAATAGTCTAATATCGCCAAACAAAGAAGCATATCTAGAGAAGACTTTTCACATTATGCAGAACGCCTGAGGATGATGGGGTGTAATCGCTGATAAATACGAGAATAACGGCTGACTTACTTTTCTGTTTTCGTTTATTGCGAAAAGAGGTTGATCTGAGAGCTAGCTGGTTTTGGATCTTCAAACCTGCTAGTTGCAGACGTAGTGGATTTAACCTACACTATCCTAGACTACAAAAAAGTTCCTATTCCGGTCTTTTCAACTCATAAACCTACCGCTTGCTCGCTAGATCAATCGATTACTTCCCAAACTACTAGCTTCCAAAACAGTTGGCCTTTTGAAAATAGTTTGCTGAAGAGTGATGTACCTAGCGTTTTGCGTTGTGGGTCGTATCTCTGTTGAAGTTTTCTCTTATTATTCGTTCAAGTTTGATTCGGGTGTTCAATAAGAGCAGCTTAATCAGTTGGACTTTGCAAGTTCTTTCTCTACAACACTTTTTCTCCATTGGTTTTCTTTCTCAAGTCTTTTGTGCATGTGTCTTCCTTATCCAGTTTCTCTCGCTTGCTTTGGAACTCTTCATTTATGGCCTGGTTAATTTATGTCAACCCAATAGTACGTCGGCTGCTGGTCGTGCAATCAGTAGAAGTTGCTTCCCCTTTTCATGCTCTTTCTTGCCAATCGTGTGCATTTCTGACTTGTGATCAGGGATGCGTCTAAAATATCCTACTTTTGCCTGCTTTGCATTTGTTCTTCTACTAACCTAAACTGAATCACGTAATTTTGAGCCCAGCCTGGCTGCTAAGTATACGGCTTGCTGACTCTGACTGAGCTTGCTCTATTGTGCAAACTTTTGATTATCCTCGGAACTAAGTATAGGCCGTCCGCGCAAGGCGCGGAGAGTGCGCAAGGTGTGCAATGCGCGTCACTCCTCTTTCCCCGTGCACTCTCGCCGCATGTTTTCTCTGCGCCCGTACTATCTTCACTGCACGCGACAGCGTTGCTCTCCGAGCACAGCGCGGACGGCCTATACTCTCCCCAGCAAACAGTGTTGGCGGAGCTTACCAGTATACCCGCCAGCCGAACTTTCGGTTTGCTTTTATGATTAATACAAAGATCGTTCCTTGCTGGCCAACGAGGGGGCATGGGTAAAACTCCATTGAGTTTATGGAAGCACAAAATTATGTGCAACCCTGACATATGTTACGCAAGATTTTTACACTATTTCTGCGTTATTTCTTTTTAGGTAAGTCGTCTAGACTAGGCTGAGGATGACGTGGTTTTTTTTCAGTTACCGTTCTGTTTTCATGTATAACTAACGCTTGGCTGTCATTGTTTCGTGACTCTTTCAGCGTATGAATGAAATGAAATGAAATGAAACTATTCTAAGCGATCGAAAAGGTGAATTATTTTTTTAGCTCTTACAAGGGAATGGTCAGAAGTCGAGTGGCCAATCCAAAAGGCTGCATACCAATAAATGTAGCATTCAGCGCTGACTCTAAATTTGTCTCCTTTATCTGCTTATCGCTTTTCTGGGCGAG